TTTTCTGATGAAGGGTCTAGGCCCAAAACGTCAGCCTCTCTGCTCCTTTGATGCTGCTTGGCCTGCTGTGTTCATCCAGCCCTGCACCTTGTTGTCTCGGATTCTCCAGCATCTGCAGTTCCTACTATCTCTAACCTTATTCACTGTTCACTACACCATTAATTTTGGTGTCATTTACAAACTTACTAACCATTCCTTCTATATTCACGTCTAAATCATTTATATAAATGGCAAAAAGCAGTGGACCCTGAACCAATTCTTGCGGCATACCACTGCTGGTCAGAGACCTTCAGTTTGAAAAACAACCTTCCACCATCTGTCTCCTACTTTCAAGCCAACTTTGTATTCAAATAGCTAGCTCTCCCTGGATTCCATTTGATCTAATCTTGCTAACCAGTTTACCATGTGGAACCTAGTTACATCCTGAAAAAGTTCCATAGATTTTTCAAGCATGATTTCCCTGTTTTCTAGGTAGTCTGCCATAAAATCCATGAGAATGGACTCGAGCATCTTCCTTTCTACTGACGTCAGACACACTGGTGTATAATTCCAAACATTTCACTTCTAGGCAGGACAAAAAAAAAAGTTCGGTAGTCTGGATAGACAGACTGACACATCTGCACTAATCTGCACAATTGAGGGATTGGGCATAAGGGAGGGACAAAGACAGAAGTTGCTGGAAAAGCTCAGTGGGCCTGGCAGCATCTGTGAAGAAGAACCAGAGTTGATGTTTCAGGTCCAGTGACCCTTCCTCAGAACGGGCAGGGGGTCAGCAGTTCTTGATAGCCAGAATTTCTAATTTCCAATTCTTCATACCTGTCGAGAGCCCACCAGCCACCAATCAATTGCTTGATTACTGGAAATAGACTTTCACATCATGATTGGACATGTAATTCTGTCCTGCAATCCCTGCTGCATTCAAGTTTAGTCCAATAATTTTAAGATAATGCCCTTTTTCATCATTTATTGTATTACAATTTTAAAAATGCCTGAAGTTAAGAACAATTAATGTACTTTCAAGCTAATTTTAAAGGATAAGCAATAAATGCTGGCCAGCCATCTAAGCCCCCATCCCACAAGTGAATAAAAAGTTTCTACATACAATGCCTAACTTATTCGTTACATTTACAGTTTGAAGAAGCAAACAACACAGCACTACAAAATGCCAGGAAGGAACTTGAATGCTATCGCAAAGAGGCAAATGAGCTAAAATTAAAAGTAAGTGGACAATTGTTATTTCTGATGTACATCCGTTTTATTTTATTAATGTCAATGCTATATGCACCACCATGGAATGTCTGAATTCACGTAAACATTTTTACCTGATGAATCATGTTGTCTCTCTTGTGGCCTAATGGAATCTCCCACCTCCTATTCTTTTATTATTATTTACCAATATGTATGCCTGCTCAGCGTCCACTGCAATTCACAGCAGTAGCAATTTTAGCACTGTCAGAAATTTGTGGTTTTAATAACTTTCGCGCATTCCAGTGTTTCATGATCCTGATGGGAAGTATGTACCGGAATTCTTTGAGGAAGTTACAAGGTATACATGGACTTCAGTAAGGCGTTTGATAAGGTTCCCCATGGTAGGCTGGTGGAGAAAGTGAAGTCGCATGGGGTCCAGGGTGTACTAGCTAGATGGATAGAGAACTGGATTGGCAGCAGGAGACAGAGAGTTGTAGTGGAAGGGAGTTTCTCAAAATGGAGAACTGTGTTCCACAGGGATCCGTATTGGGACCAATGTTGTTTGTGATATACATAAATGATCTGGAGGAAGATATAGATGGTCTGATTAGCAAGTTTGCAGATGACACTAAGATTGGTGGAGTAGCAGATAGTGAAGGGGACTGTCAGAGAATGCAGCAGAATATAGATAGATTGGAGAGTTGGGCGGAGAAATGGCAGATGGAGTTCAATCCAGGCAAATGCGAGGTGATGCATTTTGGAAGATCCAATTCAAGAGTGAACTGTGTGGTAAATGGAAAAGCCCTGGGGAAAATTGATACACAGAGAGATCTGGGTGTTCAGGTCCATTGTACCCTGAAGGTGGCAACGCAGGTGGATAGAGTGGTCAAGAAGGCAGACGGCATGCTTTCATTCATCGGACGGGGTATTGAGTACAAGAGTTGGCAGGTCATGTTGCAGTTGTATAGGACTTTGGTTCGACCACATTTGGAATACTGCATACAGTTCTGGTCGCCACATTACCAAAAGGATGTGGATGCTCTGATGAGGGCGCAGAGGAGGTTCACCAGGATGTTGCCTGGTATGGAGGGCACTAGCTATGAAGAGAGGTTGAGTAGATTAGGATTATTTACATTAGAAAGACGGAGGTTGAGGGGGGACCTGATTGAGGCCTACAAAATCATGAGGGGTATAGACAGGGTGGATAGCAAGAAGCATTTTCCCCCCCAGAGTGGGGGTCTCAATTACTAGGGCTCACGATTTCAAGGTGAGAGGGGAAAAGTTTAAGGGAGATATGCGTGGAAAGTTCTTTACGCAGAGGGTGGTGGGTGCCTGGAATGCGTTGCCAGCGGAGGTGGTAGTGGCGGGCACAATAGCGTCATTTAAGATGTATCTAGACAGATACATGAATGGGCAGGGAGCAGAGGGATACAGATCCTTGGAAAATAGGCGACAGGTTTAGAAAGAGGATCTGGATCAGCGCAGGCTTGGAGGGCCGAAGGGCCTGTTCCTGTGCTGTAATTTTCTTTGTTCTTTGAAGTCAAGTGCCACTATTCAATAAGTCATCATAAATGCAAATGAAGGGTGGGTGGGAATGATGTAGTGCTAACATCAATAGATGATTAATCCAGAAACTCAGCTAACGGTCTTGAGACAGAACAGATGGTAGAATTTGAATTCAGTTTTTAAAAATCTGGAATTAAGACTATTGATGACCATTAAACAATTGTCTATTGTCGGGAAAACCTATCTGGCTCACTAATGTCTCCAGAGAAGGAAATCTGCCATCCTCTTATTGTTCTGGCGTACATGTGACTCCAGACCCGCAGCAATGTGGTTACCTCTCAACTGACTAGCCAAGCCACTCAGTTGTGTCAATCACTACAAAATCTCAATGAAGAAATGAGACCAGGCAGACCACCTGACATCGAACTAGGTGCCAGAAAAGACAGTGGCAGAAATGGCCCTGTCAACCCTGCAAAGTCCTCCTTACTAACATCTGGGGACTAGTCCCAAAATTGGGAGAACTGTCTCACAGACTAGTTAAGCAACAGCCTGATATAGTCATTCAGGGAATGATACCTTACAGACTATATTGCAGACACCACCATCACCACCCTGGATATAGAAGTAGAAATTGCTGGAAGAGTTCAGCAGGTCTGGCAGCATCTTTGGAGAGAAAATCAAGGTTAACGTTTCAGGTCAAGTGACCCTTCCTGAGAACTGTATATGTTCTATCCCACCGCAGGACAGATCTAGCAGAGGTGACGGCACAGTGGTACACAGTCGAGAGAAAGTTGTCCTGAGAGTCCTCAACATTGACTTCGGACTAATGAAGTCTCATGGCTTCAAGTTAAACATGGTCAAGGAATACTATCCTCCCTCAGCTGCTAAGTTAGTCTTCCTCCATGTTGACAACACTTGGAAGAAACATTAAGGTTGGCAAGGGTACAAAACGTACACAGGGTAGGAGATTTCAGTGTCGACCATCAAGAGTGGCTCGGCAGCAGTACTACTGATTAAGCTGATCAAGTCCCAAAGGACACTGGGTCTGCAGCAGATGGTGAGGGAACCAACGAGAGAGAAAAACATACTTGACCCCATCCTTACCAATTTGCCAGCTGCAAATGCATCTGACCATGACAGTATCAGTAAGAGTTACCATCGCACAGATCTTTTTGGAGAGAAAGTTCCACCTTTAAATTGAGAATACATTCCTCCATCGCGTTGTGTGGCATTGTCACTGTGCTAAATGGGACGGACACCGAACGAATGTAGCAACTCAAGCCTGAGCATCCATGAGCGGCTGTGGGCCATCAACAGCAGCAGAATTGTACTCCAAGACATTCTGCACCCTAATGGCCTGGCATACCCCCCATCCCATACCAGCATTACCATCAAGCCAGGGGATCAAACCTCATCCAATGGAGAGTGCAGGAAGGCATGCCTAAAAATGAGGTGTCAACCAAACAGAAGCTACCAAACAGGACGACTTGCATGCCAAACAACATCAGCAGCAAGTGATAAACAGAGCTAAGTGGTTTCACAACCAGTGGATCAGATCTAAGTTCTGCAATTTTCCGCATCTAGTAATGAATGGTAGCAGACAATTAAACAACTCACTGGAGGAGAAACCGAAAGAACTGCGAATGCTGGAAATCAGAAACAAAAACAACTTGCTGGAAAATCAGAACTATTCTTCACAACATCTTTCCTATAGCTGGGAGACCAGAATTGAATGCAGTATTCCAGAAGTGGTCTAACCAATGTCCTGTACAGCCGCAACATGACCACTCAACTCCCATATTCAATGCACTGATCAATTAAAGCAAATATACCAAACACCTTCTTCGTTATCCTGTCTACCTGTGACTCCACTTTCAAGGAAGTATGAACCTGCACTCCAAGGCCTCTTTGTTCGGCAGCATTGCCCAGGACCTTACCATTAAGTGTATGTGTCCTGACCTAATTTGCCTTACCGAAATGCAGCACTTCACAGGCCCTATGAAGACAAATCTTTTCAACTGTTCTGAGGAAGGGTCACTCGACCTGAAACGTTAACTCTGATTTCTCTCTACAGATGCTCCGAGCTGCTGAGATTTTTCAGCTTTTTCTGTTTTTGCAACTCACTGAGGGGAGGAGGATCCACAAATATTCACACCTCAATGATGGAAAGGCCCTACACATGAGTGCAAAAGATAAGACTGAAGCAATCACAGCAATCTTCAGCCAGAAATGCCAAATGGATGATCCATATTAGCCTTCTCCAGTGGTCCCCAGCATCACAGATACCAGTATTCAGCCAATTCGATTCACTCCACGTGATGTCTTGAAGCGGTTGGAGGCACTGGATCCTGCAAAGGCTGTGGGCCCTGACAGCATTCCAGCAATAGTACCGAAGACTTGTTCTCCAGAACTTACCATTCCCCCAGCCAAACTTTTCCAGTACAGTTACAACATCAGCATTTTTCCTACAACGTGGAAAATTGCCCAGGTACGTCCTGTACACAAAAACAGGACAAACCCAACCTGGCCAGCTACAGCACTATTAGTCTATACTCAATCATCATTAAATCAGTCCAAGATGGCGCAGCACAGTTGGTAGGTTTGAGGTCATCGTAGCCCGCTTGCTCCAGGCCAGCAGCATAGTTTTCTCTGCATACTTTTCGTCCTTTCTCCTTTTCTTCTTCATCTTCAAGGCCAGAGCAGTGTTGACCGGCGGTGGCTGCAGCGGCATGGATCGGGACTCCTGGTGGCAGTGGCGGTGCCCAGAGCCAGGACTCTTCGCGGTGATAGGCTGGAGCCCGGACTCCTGGCAACAGTAGGCCTGGAGCCTGGATTCTTGGTAGCAGTGGTGCCTGGACTCTCGGCAGTGTTGGTGAGGTTGGTGGCAGCAGAGCTGTGGTTTCCTGGGGCATCGACGTCATCATTGCTGTTCCCAGAGTGGGACTGCTTGAGGACCGGAACACCTTGCAGAGAGCTCTCAAAAGTCCTGAAGCTGTGCTTGAGACCCCAATTTGAACAAAAGAAGAACTGTTATTTCAGCAATTTATTTTATCATTATTGTAACTCAAAATTGTGCCAGATAATGGCAACAAAACACTTTTTGCTGTATCTTCAAGATATATGTGAAAATAAATCATTCATTAAAGTGAAGGAAGGTGTCAGCATCAGAGCTATCAAGCAACAGCTACTCAACCATAACTTGCTTAGTGACACCCAGTTTGGGTTCTGCCAGGGCGACTCAGCTCCTGACCTCATCACAGCTTCGGTCCTTGCATTGAAACAAATGCATTTCAGTCTACCAGATCCGCTTTGATCAGCAACCACACCCTGCCTGCTCTTCCTCTGAGTCTTACTGGCCCTATTCTCTAGTTCCCTTTCAGTCAGTTCACCTTTGCATTGGTTCCCACCACCCTACCAAGCTAGTTTAAATCCTCCCAAGTGACACCAGCAAACCTCCGAGCCAGAATATTTGTGCCCTTCCAGTTTAGATGCAACCCGTCCTTCTTGAACAGGTCCCACCTACC